CATGAAGCTGTAGTTTTCAAGTTAACAGCTACTTTTTACCTGTTGTTCAGAAGAGATGGGCAATTCCAGGTCTGAAATGATCCAAATGATGCTCGTGAAGGTGTAGCCATCAGCCGGTTTCACTTCATGGAAACCGTCTGACCTCGCAGCATTAGGATTTGTTCGCTCGACTGAAGGCGAGTACTTTTTTTTAATTTAACCAATCGCTGCTATTTGGTCGTGGCGTATGTAATGTGCTGCTAACAGGGCTAACTGGTATATTAAGCTTTTTCAAATCCTGTAGGAAGGGTTAAGGACAATAACATCTTTGCCCTTGATAAAAATCACCAAACATTCACTTTGGGAATCGGCTCTTCGCTGATTGGCTGGTGCCCTGGACTCGGACTTCCAGGGTTCTTGCAAACCGTCTAGTGTATTCCTGGCCTAGTTGCTGAAGAGAAATGAAATTGAGTGGAGGCACTAGGTGGCGCTAGACTGGCTAAGTGAAGATGTATGGAGTTTAAAAACACAGTGGAGCTCTTCCTATAATTAATATATTGAATTACAGTGTTTTATTGCTGTGTGCGTGGTCAATTCTCCACAAATCAGATCCATAGACCAGGCCTGGAGGCTCCACCTGCTTGTTTCCATGGAGATATATGTGTTTAATGCCCTGCTGTGGAAAGTTCAAGGCATCGTCCGCCAGAATGGTTACACAGCTTTAGGTGGTTAAAAAAGGTTACAAGTGATATTAATCCATGCATTCCCTCATAGCCGCTTGTAAAACTGACTCCTATCCAATGTTTGCGTCCAAATTCTTTTCACTTAATAGCATTTCCAAAGTTGTCAGTGGCCTCTTGAAGGTTCAGTGAAAACACCCATATCAAATCTCTGTCTGTAAAAATGGCTGAGCAAAGTTGACAATGCTCCCTGTTAGTTTGCTCTCCGCTGGATATTAAACTGGCACTACATTTTCTTGGGAGCTATTCCCAGCAGTCTCTAATGAAAGCAATCACAGCAAGCACAGAAAACATGCGGCGCCACATACAGAAATTAATTCAGTCTGGGGCCATGCCTTAAAATAGTCTATACTCTATACACATCTATTGCATCATGCACTTACAATGCAATCTTTAAAGAGCTATTTAAGGTCTGTGACTCACTGTTTGCTCAACATTGACAACCTATTGATGTATAAGTTATAATCTTTTGTTTGTATAAAACCTGTTAAAATACAGTTTTTAATCAGTTTTGCCCCAGTAGACAACAGATATACTGTATAAGGAGCTATAGAGGTCAAAATATGTCAGCTGTAATGTCGGCATCTATTTAAAAAGCATTTGTTAACCAGGAAGTGTATGTTAGCATGCTAGTTGTTGTATGTTGAATAGTTAAAATGCTTTGAATGCGTGAGGCAGGGGGGGCAAACTCAAATTCACAGAGGGCCAAAATTAAAAACTGGGACTAAGTTGTGGGCCAAATTAAATATTTATTTAAACATTTCAACAACATCTGCATGTTTTCTCTTCTTTCAAGATATGTGATGTTAAACCTTTTCTTATTAAAATAAATGTTTAATAATAGTTTTGCTTAAACACTGAATCAAGAACAAGCATAATATAAAATAATAACAACATTTTAAATAAATAATGTCTCTATAGTCTAGCTGTAGCCGGCGGGCAGCTCTAATACATATTTGATATGATCTCACGGGCCATATATAATTATATTGTGGGCCAAATTTGGCCCCCGGGCCTGAGTTTGACCTGTCTGGCGTGAGGTAAGTGAGGAATAACTTGGGACCAGTGTAAACACTTTAAAATGAAGTAGTTCATTTTTTTCATGTTTTAAAGACAGTAAAAATCTGGTACCTCTCCTTTAAGATCACTTGAACACATTAAGCACCACTCTGGTCTCTCTTCTGCCAAGGCATGTCTTAACTAATAATATCAATAAAATGATGACAAATTGAATATGTTAAAAGTTTAGTTTGGGGCTGTTTCGCTGTGGGACAGTGGCTTTCTTGTGTTTTTCCAACATAATTCAACTGAATGCAACACAGTGATCAACAGACCAGCAAATGACAAACATTAAGTTCTGTAATTGGATTTTTTACAGCGGCACCATAAAACTGTGCTAAGTTTTATACCACTGTGTCAGTAGTCTATGAAACTCAGGCACGCCTTTTAGATTTACAAAGAGGATATTGGCTCTACTGTACTTTGAGTTAGTCCTAAACCTAGATCATAAATAAAGAAGAAGGGTTTGGATCTTTTTGACAATATTGAATAATAATAATAATAATGTATTGGATTGACAGTATAGTGCCTTTCAAGACACCCAAAGAGCTTCACATTGCATTATTTATTTCCTCCACACTCAGTGATTCTTTTCTGTTCTACTGAAGCCACAGCTGCCCTGGAACAGAGTGACAGAAGCTAGACTGTCATTCTGTGCCATTTGCCGGGACACAATTACCGTATTTTCCGAGCTATTAGGCGCTCTGGATTAGAAGGCGCACTGACTTTAAAGGAAACACAACAGTTGGATGGGTCAGTTGGACTTTGTGTGGCGCGTTCATGGTGCCTCTGGGCTTTGTTCAATGCTGGTGTGTAGGGAGGGCGCCGCTGTCTGGGACTGCTGGATTGTTGGCGTGTTTGCAGTGACTCAGTTGTTCAGTTCTGACTCAGAAAGGCACATGGTGCCACCTAGTGCCTCCACTCAATTTCATTCCTCTCTAGCGACTAAGTCAGGAATCAAAATACACTAGACATTTCGCAAAAAATGCAGAAGTGCAAGTTCGGGCACCAGCCAATCAGTGAAGAGCCGTATATTCAGTGTTGGCAACGATTCCCGAGATCAAGGATTTAAAGTCGGAACAAAGAGAATGTTTGGTGAATTTTATCAAGGGGAGAGACGTTATTGACCTTCTTCCTACAGGATTTGGGAAAAGCTTAATATACCAGTTAGCCCTGTTAGCGGCGCTTTATATATACGTCACGACCAAATAGCAGGGATTGGTTAAATGTAAAAAATACGCGCCTACTGTCGAGCGAACAAATTCTAACAATGCGAGGTCAGATGGTTTCTACGAAGTGAAACTGGCTGATGAATCAGGCTAGGGCACGGTGGCACTAGAACCAAAGCTGCTCCAGTGTGGCACCTGGCTTTCCTGGTGGCCTCTCAGCACAGTCCTTCCCAGATCAGACAAGCTCATTTAACATCAATAAACTAAAATAAACTAGATTTCAAATGTATAATCAGTGTTGGGAAGTTTACTTTTAAAATGTATTCCCCTATAGATTACAGATTACATTACCAAAATGTAGTTTGTAACCATCCATGAATCCATTAAATTACTTAAGGGAGTAATGTAATCTGAATACTTTGGATTATTTAATTTGCTGTAGAGAAGCAAAGACATCGTAACATAAGATGTTTTGTCTGCTTAAAGAAAATAAAACGCTCAAACTTTACTTAACCAAACTAAAAATATTATTGATAGAAGAGGAGGAGGAGACACGGTCTGCACAGCATGATTTAGTCCTGTTAAATCCTGTTTGAGACATAGTTTTAGTCCTGGTTTAGTCTTGGTTTTGACCTGGTTTAGACCTGGTTTAGACCTGGTTTAGACCTGATTTAGATCTGATTTTAGACCTGGTTTAGACCTGGTTTTAGACCTGGTTTAGACCTGGTTTAGTGTCCAGTAAGTGGAATAGCCAAGGAAAAAAAAAAAAAAGGGAAAACAGGAAAAATACCTCTGTGTAATCCATTACAGTAACTGTAACTGAATACAGTTACTCATAATTTTTACTCTGATTAAGTAACTCCGGTACTTGTAATCTGTTACTGCCCAACACAGTGTATAAGTATGTGTAGAAGCAAAGGTAAGACCACCATTCTTTCAGTTTTTGTTAAAAATCGCACTGACTATAATTAATGTCAGCACCGTTTTAGAGAAAAATGCATTTGTACAATCTTACGAGAGTCTCACAGTCACATTCTCACACAGGAGGAAAGGCATTTTTGGAGAACAGCGTGGCGTCTATGAGCATTTAGCCCGGTAAGTGGAGCACAGGTGGACCATCACACACACTAGATTGCCCCAGTGACAGGCCTCTCCCCGAGCTGAGATGTGAGTCTGCACCCAAGGGAGCCGGAGACCACACACACAGGTAAGACAGAAGATACGAGATGGGATCAAGTTAATGGAAACAGCACATTTAAATTAAGAACAGAGCTTTTATTTAACGCCGTGCACCTCTGACGGGTCTTTTGTGAGGTCAGTGGATGGCGTGATATTTTGTTGAGCTGTGAATCAGACAGTTCTATAGGATTAAACACAAAGCTCCCATCAGATAACACGGACTCTATTTCAATTAGTGTAATGTAGTGTCTGCTGAGATACAGGTTTATGCCATTGTCATCTGGAGTCACTCTATATTTGAAGTTATATTGAGCTTTGGATTTGGAGATAATAGACTATTTCGATATAATTTTAGTTTGCATTTGCTGTTCTCTATTCAAATGTAGTCAGATTTCTATAGCTATATTAATGTTCATTTGTTGGTTTTGTCACACACTGTGCCATTATCATAATTAAATCCAATTTCTCTGGTACATTTCCATAAACACTTAGATAAAATAACTATAATTTGGCACATTTTAGGTATATGGTGTTATCAATATGACCCACTGTTTTCTATCTTATGTGTATAATCTACAGTTAATGCAAAATTTGTGAAATCAATAAATATAAAAATCATGAAGCATACACCATTTAATTTTTGTGTGTAATTCTCATTTTGTATTGTTTTTTGTTTGTTGTCAAAGGTTTTGCTCTGGTTTAGTTGTAATGCTTTAACAGTTCTCGTCTTTTCCTTTTTAGTTCAAGGATTTTTTTTAAACATTTGACGTAATAAAATGAAAACTTTAAGCACTTAATGTAATGCATTTATTCCAGTAACAAGATTACAATACAATATGTGTCCGTTCTCAGGCGAACACTAAATATGAACCATTAAGAAATACACAGGCAGTAAATATATTTGTATGCCGTATGCAAAAACACATACAACACACAGTACATGTTAAACCAAACAGATCCCCATTGCATTAGCAATATGAGAGTTACAAGCAGCCAGGACTGTATAGGGCTTTGCTGCTTCCATCGTTACGACAGTGCATGACTGAGTATAAACACACGCTTAAAACGCACTCTACCTCTTGGAGACGAGTGTGGCATTAAAAGCCAGTGGAAATACACTTGAGACACCAGCTTTGACTGTTGCATGGTGAGTGTCCATCTGACGGCTAAGTACAAACGTGAAAAAACACAGCTGTCTACGCAGCGCAGAGGGTTTATCTGTCACCCCTCCGTCTCCATCCAGCCGGGCGAGTGCGTAAAGGTCCATGTCTGTCAGTACGCTCCGACTATAACCGCCTCCGCCTCTTTGGACGGTCTCCTGTCCGTCACCAGAAAGTTTATCATCCCTTCGGACTTTATGAGAAGGTTGCAGCCCAGAAAGAAAATGCCAAACACCACGGTGAGGGAGAGTACGCACATGACGGCGATCTGGACCACTCGCATGATGAAGAGGCTTCTCTCATCCGGGGCGGTCGCAACAAAGCCATTGTCAGTCACCACAGAGGAAAAGTTACAGCAAAAAATCTCATCTGTTTTGTTGAACAGACCGGTGTCCGTTTGGTTAAAGCCTGTGTTATTCATATCCACTTTTTAGGAGAGGAAAACTTAAAACGAAAACTAAATTACGCACTTGCCACAATCCCACAGAAATTGTCATTTGGTGCAAAGTTGGAGAAGTTCCGTCAGATAATCACTCTGCGCGCGTGTGGAGGTGGAAAAGAAAAGGCTGCATCGCATTCTGAGGCTGATCCGTGCGCACTGGAGCCAGTTGGAGAACAGAGTGACTAGACCAAGCCGCGGTTAAATAGCCCCACGGCACCTGCCCGTGACATGCAGCTCGAGAGTGAGGGCAAGTACTACAAGAGCGCCACCACACGGCCGGACTGCGCCTAACAGCGCCCCGCAGCGTGTGGGTATGGACATGTTCTGTGACGCGCAACACGTGTAGTCACATGTTGGCACAGTCATGATGCTGACTGATTTATGTGAATGTGCTCTTTTTTCTTTCACAACAATTGACAATTCTGTGAAGCCCGTGAGACGACTGCTGTTTTAATTTCAGGCTTTACAAAAATACATTTAGCCTAATTAAAATGAATTAAATCGTAGACATTGACATTAATCGAAGGCAATTTATATAACATCAAAGACAACACAGTAATCGTGCACTAAGATCGGATTGAAATGTACTTACAAAGTACGAAAATGATGAAACATGGAGGCCTGTTTGTGTTTGTTTATCCTTTTGGTATTTTTGAAGCCTACAAAGCCTGACACATGAAACAGTAGACAGAAAATTCTGATTCTTTGATATTTATCTCTTTATTGGACGTTTCAACAAAATATTTATAAATAAAAAATGTATCATATTTAATACATTAGACCTTTATGGCTATTTTAAAGAACCCAACCACGTTTATTTTGTTGCTTTTTTGTGTGTGAAAATAAATAACAACAAAGAGAATTTAGCATTTTACTCACTTTTTTACTTTTTTCCCCTTCCTATATATTACCTTTTTTTACATTTTACATTTAGGCTTACAATTTACTACTTATTCTAATCCAGGTTCTGTTTATTGTGATACTATAAACCCAATCGATAAATAATTAGGACTGTTTATAATATGTCAATAATAAACTGAAGATAACCAGTATATGCATCAGTGGAAGAAGGCAAAACTTTATTCTTAAAATAGAACATCTTTGACACATTTTTGGCATCAATATTTATCTTGCAAGTTGAAGTACCGTCTCTTAGCCAGCAGAGGGCAGCATTGTTCAGCTCTCCTGCCTCCAATTGCAGCTTCTTAGAAAGTTTCCTCACACAGTTGAGTCTTGTATTTTCATAGAAACTATAACATGCCATAATGTTCTTCCACAACAAAACCGTTTCAATCTCTAGTCAGTGTTTTTGTGTAGCTCACGTCAAGAGAATTACACTACAAATATTTGAATCTCCAGCCATGCCTCGATGATTACAAATGATATGCAAAAATGTATGTAAATATACTGTTGTCACGAAGCACTAAATATCTGGTAGTAGAAAAAGGTCCAGTATTTTGTAGGATATAAGGATATAAAGACAATAGGCCTTCATTGTTTATTTATAACCTCATTTTACTTATTTATGGCTATTTAAATCTGCATTGTGTAACTTTTCTGGACGGTTAAATGCTTTTTTCCATGGAGATGTTATTGCTTCGTCTGGAATGTTTCACAGTATGGTATTATTAAGCATTTTTATCGTCATGGAGACCAAACCAGACCAAGTTACAGTTCAGAATGCCTATTTTTCTAGGTATTTTTGAGCTATAAAACCACCTGTAATTGAATAAATGTAAAGTAGAGCTGTTTAATGGAACAAGGTGATGGAGCCCCAACCAAAAAGTTACATAGTGCTCCTGTAATTATTTTATTATCTTGCTTTTAGTTGATTTTATACTGGTTTTATTGTTTGATGACATTTTTAGCAGTTATATCTGTTGTTGTTTTCTTTTTATGATCTCTGTGCAGCACCATAGAGACGACTTTGTTTGTAAAATGTGCAAAATAAATAAATAAAGTGAATTTAGATCTGGATTTTAACACACAAATTTCAAATGTGACTTTATTTATTATGCCGTAGACTGAAAAGTAGAAGTCTTTCGCACAACCGTATTCATTGTTTCCCATAGATTCTGTTTAGATTGTGGAGGCTCAAATCATTTTTAATTTGAATTAGTTTATTATTATCTTTCATCTATTATCAATTATTATTATCTCATTCAATTTGTGGAGTATAAATGTCACTTTCTGCCTAAATTTAATCTAATATAAGCAGTCATTTTCTGATTTAAAATTTTGTTTTAGTATGTATGCCATGAGGGGCCACAATACTGCTCTACAAAAGCAGAACTCTGTAACATCATGTTTGGTCAAAAATGAGTTCATGTCATTTTGTTTGTATTTGAGATCTCCTTTATCATGTGTATAAATACCATGAAAAATACTGAGCTCAAAACTGACCTTTGACCCATATTTGTCAGTTCCTGTTCTCTGCCTTTGTATCATGAGCCAAAAATAAAGAGTCGTGCAAAGACAAAAGGCAGAAACAGTGTATGTTTTGTTTGTGATTTAGTTCATAAATATATTTTATTTTAACCCCGCCGCCTTCTTTTTGGCACAGAGTCTTAACACATTAAATAAATATACCTTTGTGTTCAATTATACTTAAATGATCTTAAATGTGAAAGTATTTGGTGTATTTATTCACACTGTACACACTATACTGCAGAGTAACTTGTCTGTCAAACTGTTTATCTGTGTAAGTGTCGCTGCACGATCCTGATCAGCACTAAACAGGAAATCCAAAGCTCTTCTACATCATTTCAAACAAACACCATGATGACTCGACCTTGGTGAGGTGTTTTTAAAATGGATGGAAGTCTGAAGTCTCGTGAAACTCAAGCAAATAATGATCATGTCAGTTTCTGCCTTTTGCCTTTGCACGACTCTTTATTTTTTGCTCATGATACAAAAGCCAAATAAGGGTCAAAGTTCAATTTTGAGCTCAGTATTTTTCACATTCAAATATTTCTTCATTATAGCAACTAGTTGTAACATTTTGGGAGTTCTACCTGTTTTACTTTTGTCTGGACAAAACAGAAACTCTGAAGTAATTTTTCTCAGTTTCACACCGTGGAGAGTTAAGGTCTTTTGCCTTTGTAGGGCAGAATAGTCTCCTGTATTAATGGGAAACACCGCATATAAAGAGCACTAACATTTTAACATTATAATTTATTTATAGTCTAAAGGTGCACTGTGTAACTTTTCTATGGGAATATCATTGCTCTGCTTTGAATGTTCCACAGTATGACATTAAACCGCTTGGCTTCACATTTATTCAATTATAAGTAGTTTTATTGCTCAAAAATTCCTAGAAAAACATGCATTCTGACTGTGAGGAGGCTGCCACTCCACAGATCTGACCTGTAACTTGGTCTGGTTTGGTCTCCATGAAGATAGAAAGGTTTAGTACTATCATACCGTGAAACACTCTAGACGAAACAATAACATCTCCATGGAGAAAAGCATTTGACAGTCCAGAAAAGTTACACAATGCACCTTTAAATAACCATAAATATCTAAAATTTGAAAAAAAACAACAACAAGGCTTTATATCCTTTTACAAAATATTGGACCTTTCTCCACTGCCAAATATTTAGTGGATTTACATATAATTTTGTGTATAATTTGTAATCATCGAGGCATGGTTCCTAGAAAAACAGGCTTTCTCACTGTGAATGGAGGTGCCACTCCACAGATCTGACCTGTAAATTGGTCTGGTTTGGTCTCCATGAAGATAGAAAGGTTTAGTAATATCATACTGTGAAACATTCTAGACGAAACCACATCTCCATGGAGAAAAGCATTTAACGGTCCAGAAAAGTTACACAATGCACCTTTAAATAACCATAAATAACAAAAAATAAATCAATAAATTAAAAATGTCTTTGTATCTTTTTTACAAAATATTGGACCTTTCTCTACTGCCAAATATTTAGTGCCTCATAACAACAGTGGATTTACATATAAATTAATTTTGCGTATAATTTGTCATCATGGAGGCATGGTTCCTAGAAAAACAAGCTTTCTGACTGTGAATGGAGGTGCCACTCCACAGATCTGACTTGTAACTTTGTCTGGTTTGGTCTCCATGGCCATAGAAAGGTTTACTACTATCATATCGTGAAACACTCTAGACGAAACAATAACATCTCCATGGAGAAAAGCATTTGAGGGTCCAGAAAAGTTACACACTGCACCTTTAAATAGCCATAAATAACTAAAATAAAATTTAAAAAAGACTTTATATTCTTTTCAAAATATTGAACTTTTCTCGTGCCTAACAGTGGATGTACATATTATTTTGCATATAATTTGTAATCATCGAGGCATGGTTCCTAGAAAAACAGCCTTTCTGACTGTGAGGGGGGTGTCACTCCACAGATCTGACCTGTAACTTGGTCTGGTTTGGTCTCCAGAGAGAGAAGATCGAAAGACTTAATGCTACACAGTGAAACATTCCAGACAAATAACAGACAATAACATCTCCATGGTGAAAAGCATTTAACAGTCCAGAAAAGTTACACAATGCACCTTTAAATAGCTATAAATATCTAAAAAAAAAAAAACTCTTTATATCCTTTTACAAAATATTGTACCTTTCTCTACTGCCAAATATTTAGTGCCTCGTGACAACAGTGGTTTTACATATAATTTTGCTTATAATTTGTAATCATCGAGGCATAGTTCCTACGCTTTCTGACTGTGAGGGGGTCGCCTGTCCACAGATCTGACCTGTAACTTGGTCTGGTTTGGTCTCCAGAGATAAAGAAGATAGAAAGCTTTAATGCCACACAGTGAAACATTCTAGACAAATAACAGACAATAACATCTCCATGGAGAAAAGCATTTGCCGGACGCTCCACCTGGAAAGTTACACAATGCACCTTTAAGACGTCCTCCACGCTTTCTGAGTCCATGAGCTCTGTACTACATTGTTATTCAGCCTCATGCCTACATTTACCATGCCTTCTCTTAGCTCTCCACTTCCTGGGATTACGGTGAGTGACGTGCGCCTCGGCCAATCAGCGCGCAGCAGCTAAACAGCGGCAGCTCGCTCTGATCCGAGGTTAGATTGAACTGAATCTTACCTCCTCTGTCCTCTCTGCCACCGACAGCGATCAAATATTCTGTCGGGGGGGAAGCAGACGCGTGCCAAGGCGAGGGTAGAAAAAACGTCGGAACCGAGGCGCACGGATAATGGAGCGTGCCGCGAACCAGCTGCGCACGAACAGGTATGGAGAAAGCGAGCTGATGTTCAACGCGCATCCCTGTGTCTCTGTGGACTCCTGTGTGTTGGGAGATGGACTGTAACTTAAGTCTCGTTTCCAGGGAAAATTCTTACCTTGATAACGCGGCGTAAATTGCAGATTTGGGCATGCGTCTACGTTCAACACGTTGTTTTAGCGGCCAGACTAGAAGAAGAAGACACTGCACCATCACTACGTCTATAGATCAATAGGTAAGTAGCATATTGACATTTTTTGGATCTAGAATTTTCTGTCATTCTTGTGTCTTTTTCGTTTTTCACCTCACATTCAATAGATATGACGATTCAACCACATATGACCATGACACTGTATAGAAATATTAACCCTTTACGTTTGCTTCTATACTGTATTTTAGTGGTGCAATGTTCCCAGGTATGGCTTTAGTTTTGTGTATTTGCTTGCAAAAAGAGGCCACGGCCAATTGACCTAATGGGCTTAAAGGGATCAGCAGTAATCACCTTCTATGGGGACAACAGCTCCGGGTTTAGTAGTTTGACATTTTCAACACTAAAGCGTAATAGTCGTTTTTAAGTACAATTGATTTTCACATTGACTCCACCACCTGTGCAGTGTGACAATATTATTTCAGGAGCCTATGCAAACTACCCCGTGAAAATCTACAAAGTTCTGCTCCCCGGAACGGCGCTTCGGAGACAAAAGATCAGCAATGAAACGAACATCTAGACTAATTACTTTAAGACTGTGCTGTTTCTTATCTGTTCAGGGACTACAGTGTTATGCATTGATTTGGGGCGTGTCACTCGGTGTAACTGTCAAGTGTCTGGCGGCTTTGTAAAGAACGAAACTTGATGAATGAATGTAGCTAATAGCGGTTTGAGCACAAAGGGACCAAAAATAACCACTGAAGATGAGATATGGACTGAAATTGTCGTTTTATTGGTTCGTTTAAAACAGGCGTAGGGATATCTGGTGACGTGATTTGACCTTCTACGCTTTGTTTTTAATGTTAGAGTTATTATATTAGGCTATTTTTAAATCTGTGTTATAATGTTTTCTCATCACAAACACGCCTGGAGTTGTGTTTTGTTTCTCTTAACCTTGTGAGGTCATGTGGTGATACAGGAAGTGCTCCACTGTGTTTTTAAACTCCACACACCTTCACTAGAATCATTCGGATCATTTCAGACCTGGACTTGCCAATCGCTACTGAACAAAAGATAAAAAGTTGCTGTGAACTTGAAAACTGCTGCTTCATGACATCTCAAGGTGTAACGAAGCATTTTGAGCTTCTGAGAAATAAACAGACTAATAGTAAAGTGTTACTCAAATGTGTGAATGAAACAAAACACAACTCCAGGTCTGTTTTTGATGAGGTAACAAAATGGCTTAAAGCTCAGAAGAGTAAGTTGTGCGTAATATTTAAACCATTGTATTGTACTTGCACACATTACATACACATGCATTTAGTGAGTCCTTCTCCTTTGCTCTGTTTCAGTGCAAATTAGATGAAGAAATAACAATTAAGCACTTTTAAATCTTAATTATTTGGTTTATTTGCCAAGACATTTTAAAAGGAAAAAGTATTATTGTAGTGTGAGATGCATATCATGAAAATATTATAGCGATATCAATTAATAATATCAATGAAACCTTTTCTGATTGTATGTACATTTGTGTGTACATTTACTACTTGAAGTTTAATTAATACTTAAATTAAAATGTCAACATTAAAGGGCACATATTACGGTGTTTCTGATCAACGTTTTAGTGTCTTGACCTGAAGTTGTGTTTTGTTTTATTCACACATGTTTAACACACAAATCCTGCACATCTGGGCTCTGAGTTCTTCTCTCTAACTGAAAACACTCTGTTCCACCTTGTGATGTCATCTTTTAATACAGGAAGTGCTCCGCTGTGTTTTTAAACTCCATACAACTTCACTAGGATGGATCACTTGGATGATTTGAGATCTGGAAGTGCCTTGTCTCTATTGAACTAAAGCGAAAATTCAGCTGTTAATTTGAAAACTACTATTTCATAAAATCACAAGTTTGGAAGAGAGGATTTTGAGCTTTTGGAGATGTAAACAAACAAGAGTTACTCAAACGTGTGAATGAAACAAAACACAAGTCCAGGTTTGTTTCTGAGGTGGTAACATTCTAACTTAAATGTCTTAAAGCACACAAGAGTCAATTTTGCACAATATAGGACCTTTCTTTCTTTCTTTTCTGCTTGAATTTAAATGTCAAGATTAATGCCAGTGTCGATACATCCACACAAAAAGTTTAATATAAACCCTGTCACTACCAAGTCTGAAGTTATAAGAATAATCTCTGGATCTTTTTGTAAACAGAGAATAGTTTTTAACACGTTGTTTGCTGGAAAGCTCCAGTACAGATGGTAGGCTAATTGAGTGTGTGCAGTGTTGGGTGGTGTGGTGGTGTGTGTTGTGTGTGGTGTGTGGTGTGTGTTGTGTGTGTGGTGTGTGGTGTGTGTTGTGTGTGTGACCAGTGCTAAACAGAGCTGTGCTGCTGACGCATCAAACAGATGGAACAGGATCTAAACTGACAACATTACCATACATCCCCTTTAGCGCGTAGGTGAGCTCTATGTGCTTCATTCATTACGTTCTCTGGCTCTCCACGTGGAGTAAGTACTCAATCTTGTTACTTAAGTAAAACTACAGATACAAAGATAAAAAGTTACTCACGAAAAAGTATAGCTACTTACCTGCTTGTCAGTGCTCTGTCTGGAATATTCCACAGTAGGACATTAAACAGCTCTACCTTACATTTATTCATGTAAAAAAGTAATTTCAAGTGTTGTTAATTTGTTAAACTGTTGCTATACTAATTAAAAATGATACATATATTCGAGGAAACTAATAAATTTCTTAATTTTCTTTGAATTTTGTGTATTTATTTTTGTTTGCTCAAAGCTGAAACTTGAAAAACGTAGTCAGGATGTCACCACAAACATGGTAAAATCACTTGAAGAGTACTTTCTACTTTTCAGTCCATGATGTATTGTAGTGGAGTAGAAAGTACAGATAGCGTCTTTCAAATGTAGTGAAGAAAAAGTGAAAAGTATCCATGGTAAAATGTACTTAAGTAAACTACAGATACCTAAAAATTCTACTTAAGCACAGCACTATACTATGTTGTTTATGCAGTGATGGGAAGAATACTTTGAAAATGTAATACTGAAAACTCAAATTGTATTTTTAATGTATTCTGATACATGGTCCAATCAGAGTACTGCATTTTGAATACTTAGGTTACTTTAAAATTGAGTTACTTTTAAATTATAATGTTAGGAAGCAACATAGTATTAATAACAGATTTATATTTGTTTTTAAAGCATTTTCTATCATTAAGTGGAGATGAAAAAATCACATGTGCACTCACCAGAAGAAGACAGTTTTCTGTTTTTCTCACTGATTGTGCAGTTTAAAGCCTAAATTACAGGATCAGATAATGCAGACATGTCAAACTCAGGCCCGGGGTCCAAATTTGGTCCACAATATAATTATATTTGGCCTGCGAGATCATATCAAATATGTATTAGAGCTGCCCGCCGGCTACAGATAGGCTATAGACACTTTATTTATTTAAAATTTTGTCATTATTTTATATTATGCTTGGTCTGGATTCAATGTTTAAGCAAAATTATTATTAACATTTATTTTAATAAGAAAAGGTTTAACATGACGTATCTCAAAGGAAGAGAAAACATGCAGATGCTGTTGAAATTTTTCAATAAATATTTATTTTGGCCCACGACTTAGCCCCAGTTTTTAATTTTGGCCCTCTGTGAATTTGAGTTTGACACCCCTGAAATAATGTTTGCCTTTTTATTTTAGAAAAGTAACTGATTCTGGATACCACCAAATGAAGAAGTAACTGTACTGGAATATACAATAACAAAGTTGCTCTTAGTTATTATATTATATTGTGATGTGTGAGCTACAGTGTCCAAAAATGTTCTTTGTGATGTAAAAAGTTTGTCTAAATCTAGGTCTAATACAGTTACACAAAGTGAGTATTCAGAACACGTATTCTCTGTACATGTATTCAGTCAGTTCCCAACACTGTCTGTACGTCTAGACCGAACAATGACCCCATGAAATTCATAGGTTAGAGTCTTGTAATGAAAAATCCACATTGGGCAGTCTGTGCACAGTAAGGCTTTGGTTGGAATAGTGATTTGAATGTAGAGGGAAAGAGTAAGAGAAAGAGAGAGAGGAGGTTGGATAAAAGAAAAGTTGTCCCCGGGCGTCTGTGTTGAGATGTGATGGACATTCGGACAGCAAGAAGAGTAGACAATGTGCTTACAGGATGTGACTGGACTGCAGAGTTATTACGATTCTCAATGTGAAATAAGAAAATAGAAGAAATGTACTAGTAGAATAATGTGATGGATTTTTAAAAAGGAAATCATTTTCTTTTTATTATATGAGACGTTGGTGTGGGCGATAGAACGCTATATCAGCCTTGATCACAATTTCATCTTGATCCATGGACTGTACTGTAACTTGATTCGGTCACATAAGATAATTACAGTTATTGGCTTCCTCAGCGTCAACACCACTCGCTGTGATTGATTAAAGTGCAAAATATGACACGTTTTTCATGTTTTTCTAATTATTGCCTGGTTTTGTGGTACAGTGTGCTGGTTAGGGCTGGGTAATTATTGAATTGAGTAAATTAATTTGGGTTTTTAATAATCAAGACTTTGAAAAAATTACAAAATCGAAGACTATTATGAAAAAGGTTTGCTCCTGACTTTCTTACTTGTGCAATGACAATACACGGAATACAAGAATCTCGGACTTCCGGTCATTGCGTAATGCATACTGGGAAGGATTTTCCTAAAGTGAGCCTCAAACTGCCATGTTTGTTTTCCCAGTGGGATGCGTCTATTGACAAAGCCGATCTTTTCAAGTCTTTTGAACCATATCGCTTTTGTTTCTGGTTCTGATATTGTCATATTTTAGTTTTGGGATTCGGACATCGTTAATTGTGTGGTTGTTGGATCCTAACAGCGGAAAACGGCTCGAGAAATGTGTTTGCGAACTGCATAGATGCAAAAGGGAATCAGATCTGTATGACTGCAAACCTCCGTTCAAACTGTTTCCCTTCCTAATGAAATTGATAGTGAAAGGCGAAGGCGATGGGCAGGATTGATCCACGGGAAGGAAGAAAAAGGAAACTTTGGCTGCCTAAATCAA